GTGGCCAGTGTCGGGCTGCCATGGGCACGCTCCGGCGGGGAATGTCCTTGCAGCAGAAAGTGCAGAAGGGAACCCAGGGCCAAAGAGAGTCTCCTGCAGTTACTGCTTCTTCAGTGCATTGAAATACTTCCCGTGCTGGAGTGGTCTGAAGAGTGTTTCCTCTGGAATTTCTTTCTCATTATTTCCTTCTCTCTGACTCTCCCTCCCTCTTTCCATGGGCAGCATAGATAGGAGTGTTTGCCCAGCAGTGGGAGGCAAAGGCGAGAGCATACCCATAAGCAAGAAGTCCAGGGAGCTCCTTGCACAAATCAAAACCCTTAAGCTGTGGCTTTTCTAAAAAGCAGGTAAATAAATCATGTGCTGCTTGCCTTTCCATCTTACCGTCAGCGCTGTTGCAGCCCTACAAGGTTTGGCAGCACGTTACGGCCAGGACTCTCCTCTGAGGTCGCCTGGGGCGCGGCACCGTTGCTTTTCACCGTCCTTGCTGCGGAGGACCCGTCCCCTGTCGCCGACTCCCGTGGCCTTCGCTTTTTAATGTCCCAAAGGTCCCAAAGGTCCCAAGGGTCCCATTTGTTCGGGCGCCATTTGATGAGTTCGGTGGGAGACAAGCAGCACTCAATATGAATGATCAGTAAGTCTCATTTATTGGCAACTCCAAACTCCCTATCTAACATCAATAATTAGGCTCATACATAGTGCAAAAGCAAGCTCATTATTGGATATTTCATTTAAGGAGAACTCCACCTAGTTCCACCTTCTTGTGGTCATTCATCTGTGCTGAATCCACATTCTTCTGATCACAGTGTCCTGTTCTCAGTTCACAGTTATCACTAAGGTCTTTCTGACATTGCAACATCTCATACCAACTACACTCCACTGTTGTTTAATTCTTTCTCAGCTAATTGCTGCATGGGAACATGACCTTTGTTAGCTAGCCACTCTTCCACACTGTTGAGCTTCGGGAGCCTCCCGGGAAGCACCAGCCATGAAGATTCCAGTGGGCTCAGCTGCTACCTGCAGGGGTACTGGGTGTGGCCCGTTGTGACTCAGCGGTGCTAAGAGACCCCTGTGACATCAGAGAGCCCCACCACGACTCAGGGTGTGTAAGCGGCGCAGAACCCTGAGGTGCCCAGTCCCGTGAGAGCCACTCTTGCAGAAGGAAGCAGCTCCCGGGATCCATTCGCGCTTCAGGATCTCAGAGATGGAGGAGAACAAGGCAAAACCCAAATGCTCCCAGCCACCCAGCCCCCTGCCCAGCTGGAGGCAAGACCAGGCCCTCAGCGGGCACTTGGTGGGGGCAGTGGGTGGCTCAGCCTGGCCACAGTCAGGCACTGAGGAGAAGGAGGGGCCCTTGGTCATCAC